AATAAGCGTATCAGCGTTCATGTCATAAGAGCTCTAGGTATCCCTGCTGCCATAGCAAAGATGGATGAGTAGTTTAGCTACCAACGGCATCCTTGAGGTGGACCCTCTGAATTGTAGCCATAGGTGTGTGCTCAACATTCCTGAATTCAGCCATCTCCCTATTGTAGGAAGGCACATCCCTGCAGTTCTTGTTTTCCTTCCTTTTTCACATTTTTTTCTTACTTTCATCTTTTCTTATTACAATCATGAATGTCGATATAGCCATGGCCCCCAGTCCCCAGTAGGCCTTCAGTGGTCAGGGGGTGCTAAGAATCTCTGGGTTTTGTATAATTGAGTTCTTTCTCAAATTTATGTTTTTGTTATTTTTATGTGGAATTGTTGTTTTGCTGTCTGGTGATGTTGAGCTGTATCCTGGTCCTTCCCGTCCAAAGTATTGTAATTTACTTTTTAGTAATATTTGTGGACTTCATGGGAATTTGAATGAACTTGCAGTTATCTCAACAAAATTTGACATTATTTGTTGTGCTGAAACTCTGGTTTCAGACATGAGGCACACTTCAGAGTTACTTTTACCTAATTTTAATAAACCCTTGTTGCTACGTACGAATTCCATGCCTCGAGCCCAAGGTTTGTGTTTATATTCTAGAGTTGGTTTTAATGCTAGTCATTTTACAAAGTATGAATGTGGTTGCCATGAATACATGGTTGTGAGTGTGTGTAGTCGTTTTAATAATTTTTAAATTTTTAGTCTTTATGTAAGTCCCAACTCTGATGACAGTATTTATGATTGTTTGTTGACTTCGTACATTTCTATTCAAGAGAATGATAGTAAATCTTGTTTTATATTTATTGGTGATTTTAATGCTCACCACCGAGAATGGCTGAATTCTGTGTCCCCAACAGACCGACATGGCATTTCTGCATTAGATTTCGCAGATGTGGCTGGGTGTGAGCAGTTAGTCCGTAGTGCAACTCACAGGAGTGGCAATCTTTTGGATCTTTTGCTAACTGATGTGAGAGGGGTAGTTGATGTAGACTCCATCGCGCCACCAGGTTCTTCCGACCACTGTAGTCTAGCATGTAAGATCCAGATGGACTTCCCTATGCCAGATTTTACGCTAAGTAGACAAGTCTTCTTAAAGTCTAGAATTAACTGGAATGGTGTCTACCATGCTTTTAATACCATTGTTTGGCGAAATGTTTACAATGCTCCTTGTCCTGTTAAAGCTTTTAATTTGTTATTGTTGGACATCATAACTCTGAAATCTCGTTCACATGATAAAGCATGGTTTAATGAACGGTGTCACCAGGCTTAAAGGGGCAAACATGCTGCCTACAATCTCTGGTCTGCTAACCATACTCGTTGTTTGTTGGGAGAATTATGTTGCCATGCGAAATACAGCAACTAATGTTTATAAGGAGGCTAAATCTGAATATAATGCTCACTTGAAAGAAGTTCTCTCACAAGCCTCACAGCCGCATAAATGGTGGTCAACACTAATAACATCTCTGTTTGGTCTTGAGTCCTCCATTCCTCCTTTAATGAAACCTGATGGTAGTGTTACGTTTAGTCCGTTTGAGAAATCTACCTTGTTGGCAGATTGTTTTATTTCAAAACAAAGTTTAGAAGATATTGAACTTCCTCCTTCATGTCACCCATTGCCATTCTTTAATTCATTTGCTTTCAGGTCCTCTGAAATCAAGTATCTGTTATCTGAACTAGATGAATATGGTGGAGTAGACCCTAATGACTTGTTTCCTTTGATTTTAAAAAGACTAAAAGGCCAATTAGCTCCTAAATTATCTGCAATCTTACGCCTTTTAGTTCCTAAAAGGTAATTTCCAGAGTGCTGGCGCTTTAGTAATGTTACCCCTATTCCCAAGGGCCCGCTATAGTCTTCACCTACTGAATATAGGCCCATTTCAATTACACCAATTTTATCCAATGTTTTTGAATGTTTGCTGGTCAAACGTCTTTCTGTACATTTGAGATTGTTTCTTCCAGAGACTCAGTTTGGTTTTAGAAAGGGACTTGGCTGCAATGATGCACTGCTTATGTTGGTGCATGAGATGCAGTCTGCTTTAGATAAGGGTCGTGAGTCAAGACTTGTCTCGCTGGATTTTAGTGCAGCTTTTGACACTGTTAATCACAAAGGTTTAATTCTTAAGTTACAGTCTTTTGGTGTAGGTGGTAAAGTTTTAAGTATTTTAACTGAATTTTTAACTGGTAGGCAGCAGCGTGTTCATGTTGATGGTAGTTTTAGCTTGTATTCTCATGTATCTTCTGGGGTTCCTCAGGGTAGTGTTCTTGGCCCTTTGCTCTTTATCTTATATACAAGCGATATGTGGTCTGGCATTACTAATAAAATGTTGACATATGCTGATGATACTTCTCTCTATGCTGATATTCCTTCTCCGGCAACTATGCAAATAGTAGCTGACATTCTCACTGTAGACCTGATGATGATTCAATCTTGATACTCTCGGTGGGGAATGAAAT